CCTCCTGGGCCAATGCCTTTTTCCCTGCAGGGAAAAGGACCCCAAAGGCTTGAGCCCTCATCCCGCTTCCATGTGGAGACAGGAGTGGGCAGCACAGAGGGGAGGGTCAGCAGCTGCAGCAGGTACGAGGTGTTCCCTGCCCTCCCTGTGCCCATAAGCCCAGCGGCTCCAGGGACACCCAAGGCACCCACCTATCCCAGCCCAGCCCTCCAAGCCCCCCATCCTGCACAGTGTTCACACACCTACTTATGGAGGTTGTACCCGGGTTCAGAGCTCCCCAGGCACAGAGGGAGAACCACCTCACAGGAGATCTGCTCCCCACTGAGCCCGAAACAAACTGAAAATGACCCCAAATAAACTCCAGCCTTAGACACAGAAGTCACACAGGCACCCAGGGCAGCTGAAGTTCTCAGAGCTGTCTGGATACACTGAGCAGTCTCTGATTCTCCTGCCAACTATTATTGCCATTTTACGGACATGTCGGAGGTAAAGGGAGCGCCTGAAGTGCTGCTCCCTTCTGAGCACGCCAACAAAAACAGCTTTGGGGAATTCAGACGGGGCTCTTTCTCAATTATTCCTTCCATAGCCAAGTGGCTCTGCAACGCTAAATTGCCTCTGTCACTGAAGTAAGCAGATGTGATCCTGAATACACATAAGGAGACAATCCACTCATCATGGCATGGTGAGTTTTTGTAATTTCTCAGTGTAAGTGCACTTTCACTGAGTTGACATTCTCCAGGACCTTGGCCACGGATGGAAAATAATACTTCAAAGGCCCTTTTAATTGATGTAGAGCTTCCTGTACCCCAATACAGCTCTTAGGAGTCAGAGAAAAGCACTTTCAAGAACCCTCTGAGGATTCCCAAGTCGGCATTACAGCACTGCGTTCATGGAGGATAACTCCAAACACTGTTTAATTACGTCTCTGACCTCTATACAATTTCCCATTATAGACCTCATTCTTACCCCTTTTAAGTCCAACCCAACTCATTCCGGAGGAGCAGGATACAAAGAGATCCTTAGCTCTGAAATTTGCATTAGGAAATGAGGGGCAAGAAGGGAGCATGCTTCTCCGTGGCTTTCAGAAGATTAAACAAGGCAAGGAAGTGTGGGACTTCCTTCATTTAAAATCCCAGTTTCATGGGGCAGAGGTATCTCAAAGTTTCTTTTGCCATAAAGGAGGAATTAAGAAGGAAGTCTGTACTTCTTGCAAAAGCTGTAACTATTTTTAAATCTTAAGATTGCCACAGGGCAGCTAAGGATCTCGAGTGTCCTTCCGAGAGGGAAGCAGCTCCGTGTAATGCCTAAGAGACACCAGTCTAAGGCTCCCTTGAAGGGTTTCAAGGACCACAGCTTCTCACCTTGTCAAGTACTCTGTTCCCCTGCTTCATCTGCCTTCCTACCATGTTTTCTAATATCCAAACCTAAACTCTCCTTGCCACAGGTCAGTGATACCTGGTTATCTGCCAAGTCTGTGCAGAGGAGGGCTCGAACACACTTTCCTTCGCAAGGCTACCTTATACTTTGCAAAACTCCCCTCCCCTCCCTCTCTCAATATTTTACAGCCCAAACAACCTCTTTCCTTTTGCACCCCCTTGTAAAGAATATTTTCAAAGCTGATCTCTGCGATCTCCTACAGAACCTCCCCAACTCTCCCACAGCTCCATAAAGTGCCACGCTCAGAGCCCATCAGCCTGGTTTCCTCATCACTGAGCTGAAGAGACTAATTAAATTGCACACTTGCCACGCTGCTGGTAATGCATCCCCAAGCGAAGGCTGGGGTCTGGGTTTGCATTTCCACCACGCAGGCTCCCGCTGCTGACGCACAGGCAGTTGTGACCCATCCTAATCCCCACATCCCTCTCCACAGCGTCGCTTCTCCAGGTGTTCCCGGCTCCATGGTTGAATTCCCCTCCCAGGACCATCCCCAACTGATTTTGGGTAACATCTCCAGTTTATAAGCACCATTTTGAGCTCTGATCCTGTCCTCCAGAGTGCTCATAAGCTCATATATCTTTATGGTGACCACGAATAACTGAGGCCAGAGAAATTTTGGGAAGGAAGAGTGTATCTGGGTCATAACTTGAGGCCCTTTGTGTCATGGATGAAATGCGAGACATCCCTGTCCCTGTGCAGCAGGTGACCGTGGCACCTTCTCACACAGCCAGTTGTGCCACACACAGGGCACAGACAGAAAACACCCATTGTTCTGAACTGATTTCAAATGAATCCGAAATCAAGACAAAACCCCTAGAACGTCTATTTAATTCAAATGGAAGCTCACATCCAAATAAAAGGTGGCTTTTAGGGCAGGCCCTTTACCCCATGAAACAGAATTTGCAGAAAAGTGCATGTGAAGGGGAATTGTGTAGATTAAATTACAAGGAGAGACAGCAACGGGTTTAAAAGGAGAATGGGATGTCAGGAGTCCAGGGACACCTTGTGCAGCATCAAGCAACGTCACACAAGGGTCAGCACTAACCCTGACCATCCAGGCTTTAACTTCTCCTGAACACAACACGACCCAAGTACATGGCTCCATCACCATTTCCTGACCTCGCAACAACACACTGCTGGGAAAGCCTGCTCTTCACGGCTCTAAGTGATTAATTATTCATCAAACTATGTTTGGACATCCACAGTTGAATCCCAGCCTCCATGATTAGACACATCAGGATCTTGAATACAGATATTCAAGTCGTTGGGCGCCTTTTCACCAGAGTTGGATCAACACTGGATTTTGAAACTATCTGCTATATATAGCCTAAAGCGGTTACCTCTACTCAGAGGGGTTTATGCCTGTAAAAAGAAAAGCATTAGAACGGAGGGTGAAGTAGCTGGAGCGAAGGACAGCGGTGCCCAGCAGCAGCCGGTGCCACAGCCCACCCGCTGGCTGCCTCCCGGTGCGAGGGGCGCTGGGACCCGAGAGGATCCGGGGAGCAGCCCGAGGAGGGGGTCCAGCCGGGAGTGGGATGCTCCCGGCGCGGGAACGGACGGACGGGGCGGGCGGGGCGGCGAGGAGCGCGCGGGGGGGACTGACAGGGCACTCCGGGACCCCCGGGACCGGCCGCCCCCCGCCCGCCCCGCGCACCCCTCAACCAGTGGCACCATCCAGGTGGCGCCACAGGCGGGGCAGCGCGGGCCGTGGTGTTGCCGCAGAGAGAGCCCCGGCAGGCTGGAAGTCGGTCTCCGCCGCAGCTGCGGCGGGCGCCTGAGCTCGTCCAGCTTCTCGCTCTTGGGCCGCGCCGCCCCGTTCATGGCCCGCCGCTCCGCCCGCAGCCCCCCCGCGCCGGCGGAGGGAGAGGAGGAGGAGGAGGTTGAAGAGGAGGAGGAGGAGAAGGAAGGAGGAGAGGCGCCGAGCCGCAGCGGGGACCGCCCGCGCCCAGCGCGCGGGGGCAGCGCCGCGGGCACGGCCCGGCCGCCGCTCCCGCTCCGCCCCGTCGCGCGCCGCGCCCCGGCCGGGCACCCGCGGGGCCCGCGCGTGGAGCCGAGGGACGGCCCCGAGGGATGGTCCCGGTGGCGAGGGATGGATCCCCCGGTGTGCCTCGGATGGGCTCTGTCCCCCGATGGCTGTGCCCGATGGCCCCCGATGGCTTATGCCCCGATGGCTGTGGCCCCCGATGGCTCTGTCCCCCGATGGCTATGCCCCCTGGTTGCTGTGCCCCCGATGGCTCTGTCCCCCGATGGCTGTGTCCCCAGATGGCTGTGTCCCCCCATATCTCTCTCCCCTGATGGCCTGTCTTCCGAGGGGGATGTCCCCCCTATGGCCATGTCCCCTGATGCCTGTGCCCCCCGATAGCTGTGCCCCCGACGGCTCTGTGCCCTGATGGCTTCTTTCTAAGCGCGTAGTGATTTTTAAAACCCTGATAAACTTTGTCTTCCATTTTGTAAATTAATCAGTAGATATAATTTTGGTGAGTAATGATATGAAAGTGTATTGTTATTTCCAACAATCATATCTTTAGGCCAAAATTAATGTCTGGATTTATCTTGAACTGTGGCTACATTATTTGTTTCCTAAGTGTGGTGGTGGACTTGTTTCCCTGTCATGTTTGAAAGTAAATTGTGTTTTTATTGCTGCTCTGCTCAGCACTGGGAGTCAAAGCCAGCTTTCTGCTAGAACAGAAATCAAATGGTCATTTTCCTAGTCTCTTATCTTTGTGCAATACCCAATAGCTCTTTGTCTGAAGCAGTCAAAAATTATTTATTTTTTTGTGTTCTCCAGAATATTCCCAGACAGTTCCTGTGGGGTCTGGAATAGATCCCAGAGGTGTTCCCATCCTGTACACCCTCCTGAAGGTGTTCTGAGAGAACCATTTGCTTCTTGCCAATAAGAAGAGCTTGAGAACAGCCAAGCTGCCGGTGTCTTGCTGTGACCAGCTCCCACTTTATGGGTCAAACCAAGGGATGTGGGTCATAACTGCAGAGCAGAGAATTGCACTGAGGCTTTGAACCCCCCCTGTCATGCCTGACTTGCAGCACAGACCTGTTCCCTGCAGCTCTGCTGGCCCTGGGATGTGTCACTGCTCACACCACTGCTGGACCAGGCACACGTGACTGTGTCCCAGCTTGTGCCCTCACCTCCTGGGATATGGAAATGGGGGCTATACCTGTTAAACTCAACCTAACTGGGCAGAAGATGGGTGCCCAGCTGCACTGAGAAGCTTGAGCCTTCCTTGGCACTGGTCACCAGGACTGGGGGAGCTTTACAGGCCTGTACATTTTAAATGCCTCGAGGGTTCCTTACACTGGAAAGAGGATATTCTGGCTCCCTCCTCGAGGCTTACCTGCCTTTGCTTTACCAAAATTTCACTGAAATCTGCAAATATTCAGGACCTTGCTCAGCTCTTTGCAAGCAGAGGAGAAACTGATTGCAAATCCAGGTGTTTTGTCGACACTGCCCTGTTGTCCCCCTGTTCCCTGGAGCCCACCAGCAGCAAACAGGGGATGCAGCTCAGCTCCCACGAGACCCCCAGCCCAAGGAGAACTGACACTTGTACCTGCTGGCACGAAGCCCTCCCTCTCCAGCGCTGTCTCACCTCCAGAGCTGCTCTCAGACCAGCCTGGGCTGTCAGATCACTTTCTGTTCAAAAGAAATAAAGTGAAGGGAGGTGAACTGTGGGTTACAGAGACAGGGGTAGGTGGTTCCAATGAGACCCAAGTGCCCCGTCTTTGGGCGTGCACTGCAGGACAGCACTTCTGAGCAGCCCAAAGGAGCTCTCTGCCTCCCTTTGAAGGCCCAGTGCTGCAGGGGACTCTGATCAAAGCTGAAGCAATACCTCTCCTTTGGTGCACTCCCTCCCGTTCAGTACTGTTTTGCAAAATGCCTGTGGCTGAGCAGTTAATGGAGGCATCTGCTGCACTGGCAGAGTTCACCGACTTAATTAAAGACATCTAACAATCCTGCAGCTGCATGCGAGGGGCCGGCACTGAATCTCCTCAGCCTGAAAGCGAGCACCCCACTGTGCAGAAAGCCAGACATGCAGCCAGACACTCACATGAAAGCAGAAGCAGGGCCCAAAGATTAGGGATGGACTGGAGCCAGCTTGCATTGTGTGTCACCAAGGCCTCTCCTCACTGAGTACTGGATGACCTCAGCTCACCAAGTCAGACGTGCAGAGTGAGCAGAGCCGGGGACATTCTTCGCCCATAGGGAGGGTTTTACCTGGAAAACATTTTTAACAGATATTTTCTCACTGAGTGAAATAGTTAACTGGTTTAAAAAGACAGGTGGGGAAACTAATCCTGTACCAAGTGGTTATCAAGTTCTCCTCTGCACAGGGCTGTGTTCTCTCCTGTTAAATGAAGAAACATTTCACTCATGGGCATATTTCTGGCATCACTGCACATTTGAGCTGATGGGGACTGTGCAAGGCTGTTATTTTAACAACTTACCAAAGAGGTTCACAGAACAGGCTGGTGCCTTCTGCTCGGACTGCTTGTCAGAAGGCACCAGGGGCTTGGGATCAGGCTGTCCCCCTGCAGGGCCGAGGGCCAAGGAGCTGTGGTGGCCCTTTGGCCGCTCTGGCCCTGCCGGGAGCGGAACAGTGCAGAGGCCGGGACTCCCACGCACTGCTCCCGCCCTCCCGGAGCTGGGAATGCGACCTCTCGGCGGCAGCAATGTCACCGCTGGCTGCTGGGACGTCAGGCTGACAGAACAATCGATGCCGGGCTGCTTTGGTCGATGTGAATTTACAAATGAACTTCTGTCGGGAGAGGCGTTACTGGTGTGAACAGCCTTTGGTCTCAGCAGTTTCTGAGAAGGGGGACAGGCACATCAAATGCACCAGTACACAGGTGCTGCAGGTGAGGAGAAGCGTTTTGGCCCCAGGGTGAGCTCGTGGGTCTCCATGTCCTGAGATAACACTGCTGCTGCAGAGGAAGGGCATGCTCTCTCCTGCACAGCCTGCTGCCACTGCAAGGGGAATTGCCCTTTCCCAACCCCTCCCCAGTGGAGTGAACATCCCAGCCCAAGGCACAGGAGAGGGGAGGTTGGCCCGGGCAGACCCTCGTGTCCAGGGCTGTCCTGTGGGTGACACATCCAGAGCTGCCCGTGGGTGACATGTCCAGGGCTGTCCTGTGGGTGATATGTCCAGGGCTACCTGGATATGTCCAGGGCTACCCATGGGTGCCATGTCCAGGACTGTGCTGTGGGTGCCATGTCCAGGGCTGTGCTGTGGGTGCCATGCCAGCCCCAGCAGCAGGCAGGGCTGTTGTGTAACGTGTCACATGGAGGCTGCTGGCGTGGGAGCAGCGCTTCACCTCGGAGCTAACGCTGGGCTGCTCTCAGCTCTGCACATGAGTGATTCGGGGTGAACTGCAGCACTTTGCTGGGCTACACTGAGATCCTTCTCTGGTCCTGGAGAAAAATCCTCCCTGGAACAAGGCATTTAGGTTGGCTCGGGACTTCTGAAGGGTTTCCTGCCCTCAGTTTTGCACTCTCGCCCACTGATGGACAGGAGTAGACAAAGGGCAAAACAAGAACATATTGAGGGAAAGAAAAAGAGGCATGCAGCCTTCTCAGACACAAACAGGAAAATTATCTAGTTCTAGCACATAGAGAGGTGATGGAGAGAAAACAAGGAACAACCACATTTTCTTTTTTCTGCTATCCCATTTGATACCACATAATCCGTCATTAGATTATCAAAGCAGTTTTATTAAATTAAAAGCAAAAGTTAGACATTCAGTGTCCCTGAGAAGGGAACCCAGACCAGTCTATTCCCCACATCAGGCTGCAAGATACATTTACTAGACACGTGAAATGGGAGACTTTGTCCCAAAGCCTGGAGCAAGTTTGGCTCCCTCTCCCTCTCCTCTGCTCTCTGCTAGGGATCTGTCACCTCCCTGCCTGCCTGCAGCAGTGCCCCTGCCTGCACAGCTCTTGTGCCCTGCCCTTCTCAGTGTGCTTTCTGCCCATGTGAAAATGTGAAACGTTTGAATCTGGTCAATTAGAGCCTGCTGAGCCCCAAGACCTGGTAACTGTAGGCAGGCAAGATGGGGGAGTGATGGCAACACATTTCCACACTGAAGAGGTGCCAGAAGATGTTTCTGCTTGGACAAAGCCAGGTGGGGATAATGGTAAGGGAGGATGGAGTCTGGATGTAGAAGGCCAGTCGTGAGCCAACACCACAGGGTATTGTAGGCAGGTTGATGTATTTGTGGCTTTTCTGGCATTTATTAGTCTCCTCTGCAGCAGCGAGGAGGGATGATACCAGCCCTGCCCCTTGCTCTCTGCCCAGACTTTCTCCACTTCATTTGACTTTACCTCTGAAAGGTGCCACATCCTTGTGCCAGCACTCCCACAGCAGCAGGAAGGGATCAGGCTTCAGCTGGATGTCCGTGGGAGATCCAGAGAATCCAGTGGAGGTGGGCTCTACAGGAAAGAACTGAACAAAATGGGAAACAGATTGAAGGCAGGATCTGGTAGATCCAGCCGGTCTGGGGTGAACTGTGATCATCTCTCTGTTGGCTCCAACCATGATTTGCATTGTGGGCTGTGGATGCTCTTCCCTGCCTTCCCATAGACAAACTGGAAGAGGAGGACAGCTGTGACAACCCAGGGGCAGTGCAATACGAGACAGGCCTTTACACAGCAGTGTGTGAGAAGGTGGGTGAGGTGGGGCTGAGGAAGGAGGATGGATGAAGGCAGTGGTTACCTGCAGCAAGAGGGAGACGGGGATCAATCACTGGTCAAAGTTATTTCCTGCAAAGGCCCAGGAAGGTTCATGACATTGTTTATGAGCCTGTAGCACTTTGGGTTTGATTGGAAAAGACGGTGCAATTACAGCACTGGTTCCAGGGGATCAGCCTCCACCAGTGGAATCACAGCCTGGAGCTCTGCTGGCTGAGGTAGGACATCCACTCTTTGATGGGGGGGTTCCCCACAGCCACCAGCTTTTTCAGAAAGGCACTGGGCCGTAGCCCAGGGACATCAGGATGGGCCTCGGAGTACTTGTGCAGCTTGGCCAGCACGCGGGGGAGCCCCACGGTGGAGGCGTAGAACATGGGGCCGCCCTTGTGCTTTGGCCACCCATAGCCATTGATGTAAATCACATCCAGGTGCTCTGGGCCCGACGCTATTCCCTCAGCCAGGATGGCAAAGCCTTCGTTGATGAGGGAAAACAGACACCGCTCCAGGATTTCCTCCTGGTCTATGAAGCGGGGCTCGATGCCGTGGGTGTCCCTGTACTGGGCCAGGAGGCTGTGGAGCCACGGGTCTGGCGTGGCTGTCCTGCCCCCGGCCTTCTCGTACCGGTACCAGCCCTTGCCGGTTTTCTGGCCGAAGCGGCCGCTCTCGCACAGCAGGTCTGGCAGGGGGCTGTACCGCTGGCCCTGCCGCTGCCGCGCCGGCGTCCCCGCGGGCACCGAGGGCCCCGTGAGGCCCTGGCCCTGCCGCGACCTCCAGCCCACATCCAGCCCAGCCAGGTCGGACATGCGGAACGGGCCTATCTTAAACCCGAAATCTTCAAGGACCCGATCCACCGCTTCCGGCCTGCTTCCTTCTTCCAAAAGGAAAACTGCCTGTTGTACATACGGGAACATCATCCGATTCCCAACAAACCCAAAGCAATTCCCTACCACCACTCCAACCTTTTTGAGTGCTTTGGCCAGCTGCACGGCAGTGGCGATGGCCGTGGGGGACGTGTGGCGGCCATAGATTATTTCCAGCAGCCTCATCACGTGGGCAGGGGAGAAGAAGTGGGTGCCAATGACCTGCTGTGGGCGGCTGGTGGCAGAAGCTATTTCGTCGATGTTCAGGGCTGATGTGTTTGTGCACAGCAAGGCCCCTGGCTTGCAGATCCTCGAGAGCTTGTGGAATATTTCCTTCTTCAGTGCCATGTTCTCAAACACAGCCTCGATGACGAGATCCACATCACGCAACGAATCAAAGTCCACAGTGAACTGGAGACGTGCAGGGTTATGGGAATCCAGGGTCTGGGCACCCAGCCCCATTTTCATCGCCTCACGTTCCAAAAGGAGCATCACAGCTTTTCTTCCCGCGTTCAGATACTCCAGATCCTGCTCCAGGGCTACCACAGGTATGTTGGCCTTAACCAGAGAAGTCACAATGCCTCTGCCCATTGTTCCCAGCCCTAGGGATAAAAGTGAGATAGAATCAAAGGCTATGAATGGAAAATTAATCACTTGACAGTATAATTTCCTTTGTATCTCCAGGATAAAAAGTGATAGCCTCTGCAAAACAAGTGGTGCACACACAGAAAAAAGAATTGAAGACTGGAAAACAGAAGGGGAATTCTCTCTTTCAGCAAGCCCTAATGTTTGAAAAGCAGTAGCACAAAGGCAAGTTAGTGTCCTTACAAGCTCACAAAAGTCCAGTGGGATTCACCCAGTGGGCACAGACCATTTGATTCATGTCTTCTCCCTGCCAAGTTTTATACCTATGGAAACCAGCATCACTTGAGTGAGAACCTGGAGATCAAAGAGAGAAAATCTGAGTTACAGCTGCAACCCTGCTACCATCTTCTGCAGGCAGGTTCAAAGCAAGCTTCCCCCTGAGGCTGTCAGTGCCCCACTGCTCCTGGGAGATGGTCTGTTTTGGGCAGCATGCAAATACTTTGCTAGTAAGATTTTGACACCAGCAAAGCTCAGACAGTTGGGTTCTCCCTCCTCCCTACTTTCCCCTTTGTCTCCCTCCTCTTCTCCCACCACCATCATTTAATCTTTGGAGCAAGGAAAATTCAGCTGCTCTTTCTGTAAAGACTCTTGGACTCCGATCTGCTCTAAACTCTGCCTCTAATGTCTTGTGTGTCTCTTGTTGCCAGGACAAACGGGATGGAAGTGACACAGCATTCCCAATCCAGAATTCAACACCTTCTCTCTCCTTTTAAAGCACTCTGGCACATCAGTAGCCTTTTGCCTGCTGTTCACACTTCATATCAGGCATCTCTACCCACTCTCCAAGTCCTCCAACACAGGTCATTCCTAACATCTGGAGATTCCCGAAGTCACAGCCTTCCTTGTCCAACCACACAGTTAAAGAATTCCTGTTAAAGAATTTATGCTTTGCTTTTTTTTCCTCTCCAAGACCATAAATGTGCCACCACCATCAGGGATACCAGTGGGGAGATTACTGGCTTGATCCCTTCCACCAGCTCTGCCCTCTGTGAAATCAAATGAAGCTGCACACTTACCCTTTCCTGTGACACACAACCCACACCACTGAGCCTGCTCTCCCACAATGGAGGCTTTTCCAGCTAAGTTAATGCAAACCAGTAAGAGAAGGTCAGCCCATTTTACCAGCTTTAGAAGTGTGAAGCATCTGAATGGAAGGATTATTAATATCCTAAGTAAAGCACCAACCAGACAAAGCAGAGGTTTGTTATAATTCTGTTAAAATGATTTTTTTTTAATCCCAGGTTTACAAATGAAAGTCAGCTAAACAAATATACAGAAAAAAGGGGATTAAAAAATTTGCCTAAAGCAGCTTTGTAAAGAAGAGCTGAAATGATGTCATCCTTCAAAGAAGTTCCAATAACCAAGGTCAAGCAAGGTAGGACGTTTTTCCTGCATGCTACACATCCTTGGTATAGTTCTGCCCAGCCTCAGCTTGTGTGCACACAAGACATTTCAAACACGCCCTACTCAGCCACCAGAAGATAGTTTTTACTGACATCACTAGCTGGCAGCCTGCTTATAAACCATCATTACCACTTCTAAGCAAGTGCTGAAGTTCCTTTCTAGGAAATTAGATTTGCTACTTAATAATCAAGTCCTACTGAAAACTAATTTGAAAATAAAACTAGAATAACATGAATCAGCTCTTAGTACTTCAGTGTCCACGGTTTGCTGACTGAAAAAACCCAAATACAAGTAGCTCCTTCCATAGTGCACAGTCCCCAGAGCCTTGGATGTGGGAGCAGGTACAGTTAAGGACAGTTTTTCCCTGTCTTTGGTGAGCTACAGGAACTGCTCTCTTCTTGGGCACTGCAGGAGGGTAACTCACTCCCCAGGCCCAGCCCTGTCTATAAGGTGTCTTTAGACATCAGGTTTAAGTGTTTGCAGTTCCACACGGCTCCCTCTTCAGTCTCTTCATTTCCAAGGTGGAGTCCTGGGGTTTTCCCTAGAATTTCCAAGCTCTTCACACATCCTGGGTCTTACCGACTCCTGTTCCTCTCAGGTTCAGCCTCGTGACTGAAATCTCAGCAGTTCTCTCGCCATCTGAGCACACTGTTCTTCCTGAATCCAAACCTCTTCCATGAGCAGACGTTCCCCAGCCTTCTTTTGCAGGGAAGCTCTGCAGTGGTGCGAGGTGATTCCCCTCTTTGCTTTCATCATGAGTGCTCCCACGTGGGTTTTAGCCATCCCATGATGGACAGGCACACTTGCTTGTAGTACTACACTTTCTAGGCCACAGGCACAGACTTACGGATAAGATATGAGCTTGCCAAGCTTGTTTCTGACCTAGAAAAGCTGTCTCTCAACTTCCTCCAGAACTCTGCAGTGGCCTGTATGAAATGATGTTTAATGAAGCTGGCAGAGAGAGTAATGAAAGCCCCAAGGGGTTTGTTACATTAGAGCTTGCACAGCATGATTCCCCTGGAGGTATTTTCTAAAATTGGGCTATAAAACTAAGGAGAGCTCTGGCTATCCAGCAGGGAAAGAGCATTTCTGAGGACTCCCCTTTTCCGTTTCATAAAGCCAAGTGATCTTGGGGAAGAATATATTAGAGCAGAAAATAATGGCAGGGAATCTTTGGGTCTTACATGTGAGAAGGCTGTAGAAGGAGGAGGAAGGGAGATGTCTCATGCTCAGCTCAGATCACACGGACCAAAACACGGTGAGGAACTACTCCAGAATTTCTACTGCATGTTCCATTTTCTTACTCAATAGTGCTCTCACTTCCCCCAAACCATGAAAAACCCTGTATTCTCATCTTGCAGGCAGGGGACTGTTTTCATGTCCAAGGCACATCTTCCCAAAAAAGACTGAAATCTGCCTCAGGAACAAGAACAGTGCCCAGCCATCCTGCTCCTGGTCTTTTGTTGTGAAATGAAGCTTTGACATATAAATAAAACTACACTTGAACACATGTAATTTCAGGCCAAATATGGGTATGACAAATCCATTTGCTGGGCAAGCTGAGTGAATAATGATGGTTAATTATTGATCTGTCACGAGGTACTCAGAATACGAAAAATCATACAGAATTAATTGAAGGACTTTAAAAACAAATTTCAAAACAAAAGAACTTGAAATATGTACAAGGCAACTTGTGTAGTCACACGCACCACAGAAATACAGATCAGTGGAAAACATTCTGAACTCTAATGAATATTTGGACTTTAAAATGCCTGGCAATGGAAAAAATCCTTTATGGATCGGTAAAAATATGCAAAGACTGTTCCAGTTTTCCTGTTAAAAACAACAATGAGCAATTGGTGGTGGCGGGCTGCTGCAGACTGGAGCTGCTGCTTTCTCTGTTTCAGGGTACTAATTTCAAGCAGAAGTAATGTGATACTCCAGGCAGGCAGGGAGCTATGGGGAGATGCAGTTGGAAGGGACAGAGGGAGAAGAACTCTTTTTCTGGGTGATGAGGAGCCAGAGACAGCAAAAAGAGGTGGGAGCCAAGAGTTCAGAACAAGCAAATGAAACAAAAAGTCAGCGTGAAAAACTCAACGTGATCTTCTCACTTGCTTCACGTTGTGCAGCAATAAAAGATGGAAGCAGCAGCACAGTGCAACATGGGTGTAGTGTGTGAAACAGCACAGCACAGTTGCAAAATGAGGTTTGCTTGATTTCTGACAGCCTAAAGGGATGCAATATCTTTCTCTGCCTGTCCTCCTCCCTGCAGTGAAAATAGAGAGACCCTGGGTCACCTCAGTAGACTCAATGCTTGCATGGATGAGCAGCACTGTTTTAAAAGCTGCCAGTCTCTCAAAAACCATCCCTAAAATTTTGATTTCTGGTGCTGCAAGGATGTACTTAAGATCAAAAATGTGAAGTTACAAAACACTGTAGAGTATTGTACTGGCTGGAGAATGACTCTGTTACAGCAGCCTGAAAGAAGAATTACAGTTGTGTTGGCATGTTCTCCACCTGTCTTTAACAGACTTGCCATTTCACTGATATCAAAAGGCAAAATAGGAGGAAAACCTTCTAGAGGAAGGAGAAGAAACACAACAAATGGCAGAAAGAAGTGGTGGAAATCAGTGACACTTGGGTGTGGGATTCAGGGTTTAAAAAAGGCGATCAAGAACCTCCGAAACAGGAGATGTCACATCAAATAAAATATGACATCAACAAGAGCATAAACAGAGCAAGTTATACTGGTGGGCTATGGGGGCTGAGTGATAGGAGCAGTGACTCAGCAAAGGCATCGGGGTCTGGGTGAGTGTCATGGCCCTGAGTGCACTGATGAGCTTTAATGTCCCTGAGCAGCCACACCTGGAGCCTCCCCCACCCATATGGGCCTCTGAGCCCCATTTAAGCTCAGACCTGAGCCTGCAGTCCTTTCCTAAGCCAAGCTGGAGGAGTTCTGGTGGGTTACTGTGGCTGTGCCAGGCTATGGATGCTGTTGATCCAGACCTCAGCCTGAAGAGTGGCTTCCCACCTTTATCTGGTACCTGCATCATCCCAGGAACTTTGCTTGATCACCTGTACTTCCAGTGGGTCCTGGCTGTGATCTCTGGGCCTGCCCTGCTTGCCCTGCTCAGGTACTGTAAATATTGATGCAGCAGTGGGTTGTGCTGCCATCCAGGGGGAGAAATGGGTGGGTAGGAGCTTCAGGAAGCTCAGCACGGGGAATTGCTGAAGGCCAGCACGCAAGGAGGAGCAGTCTTGTGCACCAGCACATGCTGGGGGCTGGAAAGCAGCTCCCCAGGAAAGGGTCTGGGGGTGCTGGTGGGCACCAGGTTGAGTCTGAGCAGTGATATGACCTTGTGGCAAAGAAGGTTAATGGTATGTGGAGCTGTGTTAGGAGGGGTCTTGCTGGCAGCTTGAAGGAGATGATCCTGCCCCTCTACTCAGCACTGATGAGACCACCCCTGGAGTGCTGGGTCCAGCCCCAGGCTCCCCAGCATGAGTGATGTGGAGTGAGTCCAGTGAAGGGCCAGTAGGGTGATTAAGGGACTGCAGTGTGTCCATGAGGAAGGGCTGAGGGAGCTGGGACTCCAGCTTGGAGGGATGTCACCAATATAAGTAGCTGAGAGAAAGGTGTAAAGAAGATGGAGTCAGACTTGTGGCCACTGGTGATAGGCACAAACTGAAACATGGGAGTTCCATCTGAACATAAGAGAACAACTTGTTTACTGTGGAGTTGACTGAGCACTGGCACAGGTTGCCCACAGAGGTTGTGGAACCTTTATCATTGGAGATGTTCAAAAGATGTCTGGGCATGCTCTTGGGCAAGTGGCTCCAGGTGATGTCATTTGAGGACAAGATGACATTCAGAGATCCCTTCCTGCCTGGCAGATTCTGTGGTTCTGCTCTCCAGGAGGTGTTATTGCCACTGGCTCCCCATCCCCGGGGTGCAGCTGCTCCCTGCCAGCAGGTAATTAACAGGATGTGTTGAACGTGGCGAGTATGAAAGTTGGCTCTTACCCTGAGCATACTAAGTAGGAGCAATGAAGAAACCTCTTGGTACCTGGTATTGGTGTAATTACTCCTGGAATGCTGTTCCCACTTTGGCTATGCATGTTTAGGAAGTGTTGAAAAATTAGGTGAAGTTCAAGGTCATGACAAGGACCAGAGTGTGACAGACTGTGCTCTGCAGTAGAAGTATGAAAGCACTTAGTTTATTTATTCTGCAGAAATATGGTTAACTTGAGTTTTGTTTGTAATCATCTATGAAAACACTGAAACTTGGGCATGAGGTTGGGGCAATTTCAGACCAGAATTCAGAAATCTGTCCGGGGATGAGGCAAATACTTAATCCAATGGATGGGAGAGATGCAGCCCAGCCAGTTCAGTTTGGAAATGAGATACAGGTTATGTTTCTCCTGGAAGCTTTCAAAGAGAGGTTGCAATTTGTCCTCAGAATTCTCTGTAGCTCAGTTACAGCACCAAAATAGGCAGATCAGATCTAACAGCCCTTCTGGCTAAACTGTCACAGCGATTAGGTCTTTGCAAGTGTGCTGTTCTGGCTGGTTTTATCAGTACATAGCAAAGAATGTCCGTTCCAGTCACCCAGGCATTCCTACAAACTCCAACAAGAGCCCCTCCTGGCAGAGCACACATTTCAGGATGGGACCTGCCTGTGTCCAAAGTTCTGTGCTCTTCAAGCCACAGTATACACTTGGCAGTAATTAAGGCCTCTTTACCTGAATGCTTTAACAGCCACAGATCCTCCACCCAGGGTTTATGGACCAGTGTTTAAAAATTATTCTTATTAAAAATATGGCATGGCAGCCAATGAAGAGAAGGGAACTTCCAAAAAACCCCAGTGTTATGGCTGAAATGAACTGTCAGACAGCTCAATAGCCCTGAGAAACGCCCAGAAAAGAGTAGTGTTGATCTGGTGAGATTTCCTTGAAGCAGAGTGGATGTTTTCCAAGGGCTCCATTACTTGTCTAACCATTTTTTAGTGCTACTATCAACAGGCAGAGCTGAAAGATTTTTTTTTTTTAATCTCAGCAGTGCATCAAAGGTTTTATTTAAATTGCTCTTATAAAAAATTAATGAAGGCATTATCTTGCTGGGCTACAAAATGGCAGGAGTGGATCCCAGTGAGATGAAATCTTCTTAAAATACAGCTGTCAAAACATTTTTTGTATTAATATATCCCTGAGTGACTCTGCACATGCACTTGCAGTGCAGAACTAGACCAGGAGGAGGAGAATTTCATACAAACGTGCTTCTAACACGACACAAAGCCAGGACACAGAGTGTTTAAAAGGGAGCAGACTCCTTGTGGTCAACACACACGAAGCTGTTTTTGAAGTGAGAGGAAGTTATTCTTCCAAAGAAAGATGTGGCAGCAGGTAATAATGTAGTGGGATATGAGATGCCATGTGAATTTCTGAGCTTGCCAATGCAGTGACAACTTCCCTCTTTGGGTGGAGTATCTGTGCTTGTGATGGGTGTGACTCTGGGAATCCCACTCCTGCCTTCTGTGACCCCCCTCAGCTGTGCTGTTCCCTGTGCTTAGCCCCACAGATCGCAGTGATCCCCCTCAGCTCTTCTGTTCCCTGTGCTCAGCCCTACAGATCAGTGATCCCCCTCAGCTCTGCTGTCCCTAGTGCCCCACAGATCAGTGATCCCCCTCAGCTCTGCTGTCCCTAGTGCCCCACAGATCAGTGATCCCCCTCAGCTCTGCTGTCCCTAGTGCCCCACAGATCAGTGATCCCCCTCAGCTCTGCTGTCCCTAGTGCCCCACAGATCAGTGATCCCCCTCAGCTCTGCTGTTCTCTCTGCTCGGCCCCACAGATCACAGTGATCCCCCTCAGCTCTGCTGTTCCCTGGTGCCCCACAGATCAGTGATCCCCCTCAGCTCTGCCGTTCCCTGGTGCCCCACAGATCAGTGATCCCCCTCAGCTCTGCCGTTCCCTGGTGCCCCACAGATCACAGCGATCCCCCCCAGCTCTGCCGTTCCCTGGTGCCCCACACCCGCTGTTCCGTGCCAGCCCCACAGCCCTGTCCCTCGCTTACCGATCACGGCCGCAGAGCGGACGGGCTGTGGGGTCGCGCTGCTCCAGGAGGCCCCGCCGGGAGTTGTCCATTTCTGCGCGGCTCTCTCGGCAAGGAACGCGTATTGCAGGGCCCGGGCCTGGCCCGAGCTCAGCAGGACCATGAACAGCTCTCGCTCCCTGCGCACCCCGTCGGCGAAGGGCATCTGGGTGGCGGCCCTGACGGCCTGGAAGCACAGCTCCGGAGCCAGGCACCCCTGCGCCTGCTTCTTCACCCTCACACGGGCTTCGCTGAGAAAGGCTTCCATGTCGGGCAGCTTGGGGACCGGCTTCAGGCTGAGCCTGCGGGGTCCCAGGGGCTGGCCTGGGGGGAGAGAAACAGGGTTGCAGGACAAAGTGTCCACATCTTTTCAGACATAGTCTTTCCATCCCATTCCACAGGATGGGAAGGCAGTTTACCTATTTTTCTCTCTGCATCTCACTGCATTAGGGCTTGCATGGCACAGTGAGATGGGTCTAGAACTACAACATCTGACATTTCTTCTTACCTCTGCTTGATCTGACATTTGCAATTTTTCAAGTCCCTTCTCAGACTTCAAAAAAAGTAAGATTTCAGTTTCAAAGAAGTAATTCTCTCCTTTTTCTCAGCTCCCAGAGTGCCCTGACTTCTCCAGTTCTCCTCCTCCACAGTCCCAGCTCCCACATTCATATGGCTCTTCCTTATAAGCCTTGGTACTCGAGTTTTCCTCCAGTATTGTTTAGTACCCAGTGCCCAATTGACTTTGCTAGCCAGAGGCATTCCAGCCGGGGTGCTGATCCAGGCATGGATAAGAGACTGGGAAATACACCCTGATTTCAACTGTTCCCTGACTGCAGGAGCCCCTCAATTCACTTGGGGGCCAACCACCAGGAAAGCTCACCCAGCATGAGCTGGGGAGCAAATGAATAACAAGGGAGAGTTCATGTTTCTGTGTCAGCAAGGGGTGAATCAAGCAGCCACACAAATATGTGAAGCTCATTACAGACAGAGGTTGCTATGGTGATACCTAGAAAGGATTTTAATTGAGAGAAGTTAGTTATATTTCAGATGCCAAAATCCTATGTCTTCTTCAGAAGCACAAACTCGGAGCCTGCTGAGAGAGCTCTGACCTGGCTTTACTCAGGGCTTCCTGTGCTCTTAATGG